AGAGTGTGTGAAAGAAAGGAAGAGGAAATGATTGAAAGGGAGGATGACTGGATGGAAGAGAGAATGACAGAGAGAAGATGGAGAGAATGACGAAAAGAAGAAAATTATGGAAAGAGAGAATGACAGAGAGAAGATGGAGAGAATGACGAAAAGAAGGAAATTATGGTAATAGGGAATGGCAGAAGGAAAGAAGAAATGGTAGAAAGGTAGAATGGCAGAGAGAAGATGGAGAAAATGACAGAAATAAAGAAGAAATGACAGAAAGAGAGAATGATAGACAGGAAGAAGAAATGATAGAAAGAGAGAATGACAGAAAGGAAGAGAAAATGATAGGAAGAGAGAATGACAGAGAGAAGATGGAGAAAATGACAGAAAGGAAGAGAGAATAACAGACAGGAAGAGGAAATGATAGGAAGAGAGAATGACAGAAAGGAAGAAATAAAAAATGTTAGAGAAAGAGAATGACAGAAAAGAAGAGAAAATGATAGGAAGAGAGAATGACAGAGAGAAGATGGAGAAAATGATAGAAAGGAAGAGAAAATGATAAGAAGAGAGAATGACACAGAGAAGTTGGAGAAAATGACAGAAATAAAGAAGAAATGACAGAAAGAGAGAATAACAGACAGGAAGAAGAAATGATAGAAAGAGAGAATGACACAGAGAAGATGGAGAAAATGACAGAAATAAAGAAGAAATGACAGAAAGAGAGAATAACAGACAGGAAAAAGAAATGATAGAAAGAGAGAATGACAGAAAGGAAGAGAAAATGATAGGAAGAGAGAATGACAGAGAGAAGATGGAGAAAATGATAGAAAGGAAGAGAAAATGATAAGAAGAGAGAATGACACAGAGAAGTTGGAGAAAATGACAGAAATAAAGAAGAAATGACAGAAAGAGAGAATAACAGACAGGAAGAAGAAATGATAGAAAGAGAGAATGACACAGAGAAGATGGAGAAAATGACAGAAATAAAGAAGAAATGACAGAAAGAGAGAATAACAGACAGGAAGAAGAAATGATAGAAAGAGAGAATGACAGAAAAGAAGAAGAAATGATAGGAAGAGAGAATGACAGAAAGGAAGAAGAAATGATAGGAAGAAATAAAAAATGTTAGAGAAAGAGAATGACAGAAAAGGAGAAAATGATAGAAAGAGATAAAAAATGACAGAAAGAAAGAGCAAGTGCTAGAAGAAGAGAATGACAGAAAGGCAGGAGAGACAGAAGAAGAAAAAAATCAACACGAGGCTAGAAGAAATCGTTCGATTCGCGTTCCAGTTTAGAATAATTACTCGACGCTGACGCTAGCGCAGTTTTCTCTCTCTCTCTCTCTCTCTCTCTCTTGTTCTGCACGCGTCGCGCGCCCCGATCGATCGGGTTATTTAAAGCTCTCGAGTATCATCGCTGACACGAAATTCATGATGTCCCTTATTTAGCGAGCCCGATAATTGTGGCACGCGTCGCGATCGTTAATCCACGACGTCGCTGTGAATGAGTTCGTTTGAGCAGATGTGTCGAAAAGTCTGCCTGATTCTGAAGAGGATTAACTATATGGAAATTCAATTATTTCCAATTGAAAAACCTACAGATATATATATATATACGAATATATTTACAATTCTCCATCGTCCGAAACAATATTTTTCAATAATTAAATTTTGCTAGTTTTGACTTGTTTACTGGAGAAGACGACTTAACTCGTCGTTCGTTCACCAATACTTAAAACACAATAGTTCACTCAGACTATCTTAATAGTTTAATAGATTGCTCATATTTAATTGGTTATTGTTAAAATTTGTACTATAATTTTTACTCATTTTTCGTTGTAAATTGTAAATTCAATTTCTGCTTGAAACGTGAATCTAGATTAACAGGTTAAAATGTCGACACTGTGTGTACTATTCCGTCGTTCATTTATCTAATGAAATGCATACAAATACACTACCGGCCAAAAGTTTCGAATCACCTGCTAATTTAGATTTGAAATTGATGCTGCGGAGGTCTACAGTATTGTACCTTATTTCGATTGATTTGAACGAGGAAAAATTGGTTAAAATATTCATAAAATTGCTAACTTTATTCTGGAAATTTTTGTATAACTTGTAATGCACAGTGATTCCAAACATTTGGCCGGTAGTGTATATATTAGGTGATCCCATAAGTTTATGTCGAAGGTGAAAAATGTTTTAATGAAAATCCGAGAAAATTCCATAGGGACGACGTAAGAATTAGGAAAAAGTTGTGGAATGAGACAGCACTTAGGTTTTTCCCTATCAAATTTAAAGGTTCCTTAGAGACACCGATCTAAACTAAAAAATTCAAGAAGAACTTTAGGGACGTCCCAATAAAAACACATTATTACACAAAAATAAGACTCCAAACCGACTTCACATGAGCCACAGACACCTACCTCAACGTTAAAAATCCTGTTCCAGGGCCTCAGTCACGCGAAGGCGAAGGAGAACCTCGAGAGGGACGGTCCGAACGCGTTGACGCCGCCGAAACAAACGCCAGAATGGGTGAAATTCTGCAAGAACTTGTTCGGCGGTTTCGCGTTGCTGCTGTGGATCGGTGCGATCCTTTGCTTCATCGCGTACTCGATCCAGGCGTCCACCAGCGAGGTTGCAAACGACGACAATCTCTTCCTTGGTATCGTACTGGCGGCGGTCGTTATAGTCACCGGTATATTCTCGTACTACCAGGAGAGCAAATCGAGCAAAATTATGGAATCGTTCAAGAACATGGTACCGCAATACGCGACTGTGATCAGAGAAGGCGAGAAGCTGATGTTGAAAGCCGAGGACTTGGTGCTGGGTGACGTAGTCGAGGTGAAATTTGGCGACCGTATACCAGCGGACGTTAGAATCATCGAGTCTAGGGGCTTCAAAGTGGACAACAGCTCGTTGACAGGAGAGTCTGAACCTCAGTCGAGGTCTCCGGAGTTCACGAACGAGAACCCGTTGGAAACGAAAAATCTCGCATTCTTCTCGACGAACGCCGTCGAAGGCACGGCGAAGGGTGTGGTGATCTGCTGTGGTGATCAGACGGTAATGGGAAGGATTGCTGGTTTAGCATCCGGCCTTGACACCGGTGAAACTCCGATCGCTAAGGAGATCCACCATTTCATCCATTTGATCACAGGCGTCGCCGTCTTTCTCGGTGTAACATTCTTCGTGATCGCTTTCATTCTCGGTTACCATTGGCTCGACGCTGTAATCTTCTTGATCGGTATCATTGTAGCTAACGTGCCGGAAGGTTTGCTCGCAACTGTGACCGTATGCCTGACACTCACCGCGAAACGTATGGCGTCGAAGAATTGTCTGGTGAAGAATCTCGAGGCTGTCGAGACGCTCGGCTCTACATCTACGATTTGCTCCGACAAAACTGGTACCTTGACGCAGAACAGAATGACCGTTGCTCACATGTGGTTCGACAATCAGATCATCGAAGCTGACACTACGGAGGATCAGTCCGGGCTTCAGTACGACAGAACGAGTCCTGGATTCAAGGCATTGGCTAAGATCGCTACTCTGTGCAATCGTGCCGAGTTCAAACACGGCCAAGAAGACGTGGCGATATTGAAGAGAGAAGTAAACGGTGATGCGTCCGAGTCTGCTCTGTTGAAGTGTATGGAATTGGCACTCGGCGACGTGATGGGCTATAGAAAACGCAACAAGAAAGTCTGCGAGATCCCCTTCAACTCTACGAACAAGTATCAAGTATCTATCCACGAGTCGGACAATCCTGACGATCCTAGATATCTGTTGGTAATGAAGGGCGCACCGGAAAGGATTTTGGATCGTTGCTCTACAATCTTCATCGGCGGTAAAGAGAAGGTACTGGACGAAGAGATGAAGGAAGCGTTCAACAATGCTTACCTCGAGCTCGGTGGACTTGGTGAACGTGTACTCGGTTTCTGCGATTTCATACTGCCGTCCGACAAATTCCCGATCGGCTTCAAGTTCAACTCCGACGACCCTAACTTCCCGACGGAGGGTCTCCGCTTTGTGGGCCTGATGTCTATGATTGACCCGCCCAGGGCTGCGGTGCCCGACGCGGTAGCCAAGTGCCGTTCAGCCGGCATCAAGGTCATCATGGTAACCGGTGACCATCCGATCACTGCCAAAGCCATTGCCAAATCCGTCGGCATCATCTCTGAAGGTTGGTGTTTATACCTCGTTCGCTGGAGATACTTCAATAGGGATATTGTGATTAATTGTTTTTTTTTTTTCTAATAATTCTACCATCGAATAATAAGGTACATTCTTATTTGCACTTAGCAAGAAGGGAAATGAAAGTACTTGGTCATAATTGTTACTCACTTTTTTTTAATCATAAACTAGAAAGATTGAATTTCAGTTTGAGAGGTGAAACCAGTTAAACAGGTTAAGGAAACATTCTTCTGTCAAAGATCTAATGATATGTAAGAGTAGATAGAGAAGCTCGTTGCTTAAGTATGAAGAGCTATTGCTAGATGCTTTGTATAATCATTTGTGTACTGATATATGGAGTTTCGTGGCTATGTTGTTTTATAGTTAGTAAAGTAGAGACAGAGAAGAGTGGAAAATTAGCAGTGATCCAATACTGATGAAGGACCTCTGTGTAAAAATTATTCTGGGTTCTTTATCACTGCATTTTATCCAGTTTTGATGGTACTATTACCAAAGATTGTAAGTCTTGCCTTTTATTAAATGGTCCAGTGACACACTCTGTAATACTACTTACGCTGCAGAGCCTGAAATAGGCTGAAGAACTGTCTTACCTTGAAACCCAGATACCGGTACATTACTTCCATTTAAAAGAATTGAAACTTAGTTGATCCAGAGCGATACCCAGTTAGCTAACTTGAGCTAGTTACCATATTATTGCATTTGAGTACCCGCGGTTTTATCTGCTTCAAAGAGACAGCTATAAAGGAATGCAAATGAAAAACTTCTACTTCAGACGGTGGTCCCTTCTTATCAAATATTCATAAACTCGTTGGGAAGCTGCTGGGGAAAGATCGTGAATGAGTTAGAAGTTAGCTTTACCAAAGGGACCATTTTTTTTCTTGGGAGACCTGTGCAAATTCGTTGAAAAATTAGTTAGGCTACAGTAGCATCCTTTCAAAGCGAGACTTTCCTTGATACTTAACGTGATGATTTCTAATCAGGTAACGAGACCGTCGAGGACATTGCTCAACGGTTGAACATCCCGGTATCCGAAGTGAATCCTCGCGAGGCCAAGGCCGCTGTAATCCACGGAACCGAACTCAGGGAACTGAACTCCGACCAACTGGACGAGATTCTCAGGTACCACACCGAAATTGTGTTCGCCCGTACCTCGCCACAGCAGAAGCTCATCATTGTCGAAGGCTGCCAACGAATGGGTGCTATCGTCGCTGTAACTGGTACGTTGTCAATTTCTCTCCTGCTACTGTTCTCTTGAAACTGTAAACTTGGAGAACTGCTTAGTGTAGTGTAGAATTTTTCTATTCTCTTGAGATTATGAGAACTCTCAGTATAGTATAGAATTTTTAATAGAAGAGTGTAGAAAGAGTATAGCAATTTTTGAGGAAGAAGAATTACGGTCCCCTTGAGACCATGAAATTGAGGAACACTTGATGCTTGCAATTTGCCTGCAAGAATAATGACAATTATAATTTTGTATGAGCAGACTTGTTGCGTACTTGTGAGAACACATTCCCTTGAGGTGAGAAACTTGCAGAACTTGATTAGACCTTTCCATAAGAGAAATTCCACTCCCTTGGGATAATGAACTTGAGGAGCACTTTGCGAATGAACCCTCTATAAACAGTATCCCTTGGGCACATTACTCTTGATCCTCTCTAAGTTCTCTTGAATAAACCAAGTCTGCACTGCGTCATCCAATGGTGAACACTTTGTTTGTACCACCTATGTGTGTCTGTGTGTGCGTTACTTAGTGAAATCCTCTTAGGATTTACACTCCATGTAATGTTCCAAGTTACACTTGTCTACTTAACTCATGCAAGCTACACAGGAAATTAATCCTCTCATGATACACATTACTTAATCTTGTACACCAGGTATGCATTACAAACTCTTAAAACCCAACAACATTAGAAACCTAGAAAATTCAAAGTGTAGTAGACTTTATTTCACCAAACGAAAAAGGAAAAAATAGTGTACAAAATACTGAAGGATGTGATTGTCTATTCCAGGTGATGGTGTAAACGATTCTCCCGCGCTGAAGAAGGCTGACATCGGTGTAGCCATGGGTATCGCCGGTTCTGACGTGTCGAAACAGGCGGCTGACATGATCCTTCTGGACGATAACTTCGCCTCGATCGTGACTGGTGTCGAGGAGGGTCGATTGATCTTCGACAACTTGAAGAAATCCATCGCGTACACCCTCACCTCGAACATCCCCGAGATCTCACCTTTCCTGGCGTTCATCCTTTGCGACATCCCTCTGCCTCTTGGTACTGTCACTATTCTCTGCATCGACTTGGGAACCGACATGGTGAGTGGCTCATTTTACCGATCTACGTCTCGATCCTTTCCACACGATGGAAACGATCGAAACATCACCACCGTAACCAAACAATTTCTACGTAGAATTCTGACGATTCTTCGATCAGATTACGTCGTTGTAACATGATTCACGATCGAGTCTATCGAGGATTCGCCCGAGATTCTTCTCGAGTAACCAAAGATTTTCAGCGTTGTATTCTCGTTCTCTCTACACTCGTTTCTCTGTGACGACGAAGAGATTTCTAGCAGGAGGATTTTATGTTTAAAACGATCATTGTCAGATACCAGCTATATCCCTGGCGTACGAGCACGCAGAGTCGGACATTATGAAGAGAAGGCCACGAGATCCCGACCACGATAACCTCGTCAACGAAAGGTTGCTTCTTCTCAAACAGATAGCTTGGTTGTGGAGTACCTTGGTTGTTAGGGTTTGTAGGATTGTTTAGGCCAGCTAGAGCTCCTGTAACCGCTGTACGCCAGATAGGAGACGTAGGAGAGCACACCTGACCAGTGGAAGCTAGTTTGATCCATTTGTAATTTGTAACATTTGTGAATTTGTGCGTTCTTTAGGTGGCCAATTTGATGGAGTTCAACCGTGCAGAGAATTTACAGGATGTTTAATTATATTGAATCTTCTTGACGCGAGAATTTTCCTTCTTATCGAGATCTATTTTATCTCAGTCGAATGATATATGGTTTATTTCTGTTGGATTAATGGAAAAATGTATATAGATCTCTTTAGAACGAAGATACTAGTGTCGGGAAATCTAATAAAATTTTTCCAGTCGTGAAACTATAATCGATCTCATGCTCCAGAGACAGAAGAGAAGTTTCGAAGGAATTTCGAGACGGAGATAACCCGTTCCAAGTATCCTAAATCCCTCGACACATCCTGCCATCATTGTTCCGATCGATTTAGTTCTCTCAGTTGATTTTTCGCTTACCTTTTCTGCGTTCTCGTCATATTATACTCACTGGTGCATAGCAAGAATGCTGATTGTTCTCTCGTTGGAAAAAAGAGAAAAGAGATGTTTGATGTTTGTGGAAATTTGTTTGTTCCGAAATAATGAAAAATTTGGAAATTAAAAATAAGCAAGAATTATTCCGAAATATAAATAAACGAAATCCTTGGAAAGGATCGAAGATATAGAAGGTACAGGTAATTGTTCCTTCTATTCTTAACTGATTTGCTCGTGAATTTATTGGGTCAGCATCCTTGTAATCGCGGGTCAGCGAGAATTCTCATCATTGTTCTAACTATTCGCGTTGTTACTGAGCCTGTTGATAATGTGACGTCAGGTGCCAGCTATCTCACTTGCCTACGAGGAGGCAGAGAGCGATATTATGAAGCGACATCCACGAAACCCGTTCACTGACAAGCTAGTTAACGAAAGGTAACACATCAACAACATAAACGAGCCTTGACAAAACTACTGCTACTACTACTATACTATACTATACTACTACTATTACTACTACTTCTATACTGCCACTATTACTGCCACTACTACTACTATTACTACACCATTGATACTTTTTTATGGTTAGAAAGGGTGATCGGTGACACGAACTTTTTGATTCTTGAAGTCATTTCTTCTGCCGTGCCAATTCAGAATTACTTTCTTCGAGAATTTCGTACGATAAAATTGAGAAATGTTTTTCTGAAAATGTAACGCCACGATATTGAGAATTTTCTTGTGAAAATTCAACACCGTAAAATTGAGAATTTCTTTTCCTGAAAATTTCATATCACAAAACTCGGTATTTCTTCTGATAGTTTGATGCCATCAAATTGAGAATTTCCTCTCTGAAAATTTAATACCACAAAATAATCATTTTCTCAAAATGTAATACCCCAAAATTGAGTATTTCTTCTCTTTGAAAATTTAAGGACACAAAATTACTTTTTTCTGAAAATTTAATACCCCAAAATTGAGTATTTCTTCTCTTTGAAAATTTAACACCACAAAATTACTTTTTTCTGAAAATTTAATACCCCAAAATTGAGTATTTCTTCTCTTTGAAAATTTAACACCACAAAATTATCTTTCTCTCAAAATTTAATACCTCAAAATTGAATATTTCTTTCTTCTGAAAGTTTAGTACCATAAAATTACTTTTTTCTGAAAAATTAACGCCCCAAAATTGAGTATTCCTCTTCTTTAAAAATTTAATACCACAAAATTATTTTTTCCTGAAAATTTAACACCCCCAAATTGGACTTTCTCTGAAAATTTAACAAGAGTATCTTCCTGCACCGATGGAAATTTTTAATTTACCCAAAGAGATTGCAATAAATCTTTCATTACATTATACAGTGGTCTGTTACAATTCAAAATATCTCTTTCTATCATTCTAAACATTATAAAAATCTCTGACTTCAGGAATCAGATCAAAACGGTCGCTCGACAACTCTCTCCATTACCTGTCTATTGGTCGTTACACTTCTAACTTATTCCTATGGTTATTGTATAGTAGCTAGTTCGTTCTGTCTCGTATATACTCGTTCTCGAACACTAACAGAACAAAGAGCAAAATCAAAAAAAAGAAGAAGAAAAACGAAAAAAAAAAAAAATGAAAATACAACACAGATTACTTTCTTCTTTTTTTTTTTCTTTCATTATTAAAACACAGCTCTTTTCCTGCAAGAGTATAACTGTATATCATTTCTATATACTCGTTGTCCAATCAGAATCACAGCCAAACATACCAAGAGCATCTGTGAACGAGGTGACAACGATTCGTGTGCCTAAAAAAAAAAAAGAAAAAAATACTAAAATCCCTGGCCTGATTCGTTTTGTACAAATTGTTCGATGTTTTCTCTCCCCCTCTGGATTACTTTTTTTTCTCTCTCTATTTTTTCGTTATCGTGTTTGTCGAGATAATAACGTGATTGTCCAAGTGTTTGCTGAACGAATTTCTCTTGCGAGCAAAATGAAATACGAAGAATTACGAACTGTTACTGATTCACTATGCGTGTGTGTGAATGCCACTTTTCAACTGGTGAATCGTAAGAATTATTGAAAATAGATTATCCACTTGGTATTCTAAGAAGAAGAAAACGAGAAACGCTTTTTGTTTAAAAGGAAAGAGCTTTCGCTGAAGCTTGAGAAAAATTACGAATAAAGAAGGAATAATAACAATATAGTCTGGTATATGGTTCTTTTCTCTCTATATATTTTCCTTCGTTTCTTTCTTACTAACTTTCTATTTCTATTTCTTTCTCTGTCACGACTGCGTTGTTTCGCTTTTTCTAACTTGGTTTAATCGAACGCCTGAAAACGCTGTGGGTTTATGATTTGTTCGATGCCGTTTGGTCAGAAGACAATCTCTCTCTCTCTCGCTCAGAGGCACGCTAGGGGATGATAAAATGATCGATGATCTAACAAGGTAACAGAATGGTTGCACGCAGGTATAACACTTTTTTGAGGGCATTTGGTGACTGGGTATTATTACTACACACTAGAGCTTTTATATCAGAACTTTTAATATATTCTATATCTATCTTTCTCTGTCTGTTTCTATCTTCTGTCTATCTCTCTGTTCGAGAGCCCGGTCGACACTCGCTCTGTAGCTCGATTGTCACATCTCTTGATCTGTTCAGCTGACGTTTGCTCGTCCACGATTCCACCGATCGGCGAACAATTTTTCGTCGAGACGATACGCGTCTTACGTCCGTCAATTACGTCCGTCACTCCAAAGAATTTTATTCGAAATTTCGTTGGAAAGAAATTTTGTCAAAGATTAATTAAGAATGAATAATAATTTTGACGTAAAAAGAATTTCTTGAAAATCGTTGTTTCATTGATTGCACAGAGAAATGGTGAATTATTGGACGAGCAATCGACGAAGTTTCATTTTCGAAGGTTTTCCTCTTCCTCTAAGTAAAACCGAAAATAAAAAAAAAAAAGAGAAATATATAAATTGCCAGTCAAGTGATCGCTTCCATAACGATGAACTCCGCTTGTAATTAGTGTGTTGTTTCGTTGACTACCAAAGGTAAGCCGATCTCTCTCTCTCTCTCTTTCTCTCAAGTCTTTCTCTATTTCTCTATCTCTATTTCTATCTATTCAGTTACCCCGCCTCTCTCTCTCTCTCTCTCTCTCTCTCTCTCTCTCTCTCTCTCTCTCTCTCTCTCTCTCTCTTAACTTTCTATTCTATATCACCTCCGAGCTTAGCTTTTTTCTCTGTTCAAATTCTCGCGCCCCTTTTCATCAAAAACTGTGCCGCCATCTTTGATCGTCCGCCATGTTGTTTCGCTACGGACAGGAAGTCCCTTTTCTCCTCTTTATTTCTCGTTTTATCATCGCACTCACCCTGCAAGAAAAAAAGAAACGTTGATGACGTATCGAGGTCTGTCCTCAATTCTTCCAGATTTTCTTCCAGATTTTTTTATTACCTCATTTAAGAGGAACTTTTTTTTCTTCGTTATATTGTTGGTTATTTCTTCCCTCACTGTTTCCTGGCTGAATCTCACGCCATGTATACCAAAAGTTTCATCGTTACTCTGCCTCGCTGAAGAATTCAGAATGAATCCTCTTCTTTCTCTGAATTGTACATTCTTTTTTTCTATTTTTTTTTTTTTCTTCATCGTCGATTGCTTCGAATCCAAAAAACCTGGTGCAACGATCCCCATCTTTTTCCAGTTGTTTGAAACGATCAGACCGAGAGAATTGTACTTAGAGATTCATTTTTGTTTCTTCGACACTTCACACAACGATTGGAAAAATGAACAACAATTTCACACGAGGGAACACAGGTGAAAGGTGTGCAAGAGAATCGATCGAATCGCTGGAATTCGTAAAAAGAACAACTTGGTGGTTTTTGTTCTCCGGAAGATGAATTCTTTTCAACTTCCGGTTCGCGCGCGTGTGCCTCGAGCGATTCTCGACATCTTTTTTCGTCAAGTGATGACGAGCTTAGTTGACTTTAGTTGAACTTAAGGTG